CAACTGTTTCTCCATTGAATCGGCAGCTACTAAACGCAGACGAGGGATAAAATCAACCAACAGCACTCGCAAGTTCTTGGACTGCAAATTTGTGTTGTTTTTATACAGAAGCTACAGAAATGCTATTAAAATATCACTTTCTTCGCTGCCTAAAAAAGTTATAGGTGGTGCAGCGAGCTGCGGAAGGATTCACGGTAAGTGTCAGCAAGTTGAAGCACATTTCTACAGGAGCACTTCAGTTCCGGTTAGGCGTAACAATGCTATAAGGAAAATGCATCGCAAAAAAAGCAGCTAGGTTGGTTGTGTAACATAAATTAGCGATAACAAACCGTTGAATCTAACTGTTGAATGGACTCAAGCAATTTTAAAAGAACAAAGGAAAGAACATCTAAATGATGGACAGAACTATTTCAATAGCTATACAGAGTTGTTGGACGAGAGAAGCCCAAAATAAAGAAGAATGGAGAAGTTGCCAGTAGCATCAATAACAGGAAAAAAATGTAAAAATGAAAAAAAAAGCGCTAATTAAAATATAAAATCGTGCGGTTATTTCTCAAAAAAATTTTTTTTCATATTCAACATATCATCAACATACGCGCATATAATATTTGTTTTGCTTTACAAACTACACTTTTATCGTGCCGCAGAATATTTTACATTAAAAGTACCCCTCCCTCCCTCCCCCCCCCTTCTTCCTCATGGCCACTTTTTAGAAGAGGCGGGGGACACGGAATTAGTACAAATGATCGCGAATATGGCTGAATTTCCCTTTCTCGGGTAAATGTCAGTACCAGTTTACTATCGTAGCCAATGATGGATAGCACATAAATTAGTTATTCCAGTAGAGGAATTGAACTCTCGAGCTCCATTACAAGTAATTATCAGTCACTGCGCTATGAGCTATCGCGACCCCAATTGTTACTTTATTTGATTAGTGTGTGCCCCGTTCGGAGGTGTGTATGTGTGTGTAACACGTCGCGTCCTATATACATGTTTATTATACATAGTAAATTAAAAGGATAATGCATAAAAGGAGATGAAGCTCTGGGGAGCCGAAGCTTCCCAGAATAGGAGCATTAGTTATATAGAATAAAGAGGTTGCGTAGTAGATCGGTAGTGGCGATCCCGGCGATGGGAAGGTGTGCTTTTATTACCTCAGGGGACAAAGATCAAAAGGTTAATGAGGGAAGGGTGGTCAAAGTTTGAACCGGGGACAGGGGCACTGCGTCATAGTAACGCAGCTGGTCTTTATACTATTTTTAACAAAAACCATTAATCATTATTTGATATATTACGCACTATTAACAGACACAGTTTCCGCAACGCAAACTGAATAAGCAACACATTTGTTTTTCGAAGAAAAATGGAAAGGAGAGTAACTCTTTCGATTATAATTTTTCATTAAAAAAGACGAAATAAACTTCAAAAATAAAATAACCTCAAAAGCAGACTGCAATTTCGGCAACACTTTAACCATAATAAGCATTAAACGATGACTGATATAGTAGCAGTTGTTGTAAAACACTGCTGAAAATTTTCAACAAAATAAATTTTTTCTCCTTTTAATTACGTCCTAAAAGAATACAAACAGGTAGACCAGCAGGCGATGTGACACAGGCTAATATGAGCTTAACAGTTGAAGAATCCGACTATGAATTACAACTTTTCCAAGTTTTGCAAATAAAAAGACTCTACAGGTGTTGCAAAAGGAAGAAGGAGCGAGTAACAAGGAAGCGAAGTTGGAGGCTCAGCCCCTTTCACCTTGCTCAGTTGCCCCCCGGTTTCCTGTAATATGCAAATGTTCCGTCTCCTGGCTCGAGTTCCCCCCTCCGTGATG